TTTACTTTTGATGGATATTTCATTTTTTTCTTTTGATGCTTGTGCTTTTGATGTCAGACCTAAGAAACCATTGCCTCATCTAGGGTCAAGAAAATGTACACCTGTTTCTAAGGATTTCAAAGTTTCAGTTTTTATATTTGTCTTTGCTCTATTTTACATTTTTATTTATTTTGGTTGTGCTGGGTCTTGTTGATGAGAGGGCTTTTCTCCATTTGCAGCGAGTGGGGCTACTCTCTAGTTGCAGTGTACGGGCTTCTCATTTCAATAGCTTCTCTTGTTGCGGAGCACAGGCTGTAGGACATGCAGGCTTCAGTAGCTGCAGCTCCCAGGCTCTAGAGCACAAGCTCAATAGTTGTGGTTCATGGGCTGAGTTGCTCCTAAGCATGTGGAAATCTTCCCAGACCAGGGATAGAACCCATGTCTCCTGCATTGGCAGGAAGATTCTTTACCACTGAGCCACCAGGAAAGCCTTTATATTTTGTAGAATTTGAAGAATCTAACTTCATTCTTTTCAACGGATGCTCAGATGTCCCAGCACCATTTTTTTTAAAGACTATTCTTCCCCCATAGAATAGTCTTGACACCTTTGTCAACAATCTATTGACTTATTCAAACCTACAGAATGTGCACCACCAGAAGTGAACTGTATTATAAACTATGGGCCTTGGGCAATTATGACAAGTCAATGTAGTCACATTCATCGTAACAAACACACCAACCACTCTGCGAGGGGATGACAGGAGATGTACATGTGGGGCAGGCAATGTATGGAAAATACCTGTACTTCCTCTCAATTTTACTGTGAAGTTAAAACTGCTCCAGAAAAATAAAATCTTTAATTAAAAATTCAATTCACAATCCAGGAAGACAGTGAACTCTTAGGTGGTATTTTCAGTATCCTGCCTAAGAAAAATTTGCCTTCCCCAGTGTCATGAAGAGGTCTGCAGATGCAAGGAGGAGCTAACATGGTGGAGGAACAGGACGGGGAGACCACTTCCTCCCCTACAAATTCATCGAAAGAACATTTGAACGCTGAGCAAACTTCACAAAACAACTTCTGATCGCTAGCAGAGGACATCAGGTGCCCAGAAAAGCAGCCCATCTTCGAAAGGAGGTGGGACAAAATAAAAATTCAATTCACCATAGATATGTGGATTTCTTTCCAGAATTTGAATTTTATTTCATTGATCTATGTATCTATTCTTACACCAATGCTACACTATCTCGATTATTGTACCTTTGTCTTAAGATTCAAAATTTAACAAACGTGAATCCTTCAAATTTGTTGTTTCAAAGATTTTGTTGTCTATCCTGTGTCCTTTGAAGTTTCAAATGAATTTTAGGATCAGATTCTCCATTTCTGCAAAGTGAAGTTGCAATTTTGATAAGGACTGCATTGAGCCTACAGATCAATTTGCAGAGTACTGATATCTTAACAATATTAAGTCTACAATTCCATGAACACAGGTTGCCTTTTTCTTCTGCAACATTTATAGCTTTCAGTGTACAATTTGTACTTAGGGTCAATTTATTTCTACATATTTTACTCTTTGTAACACCATGGGGTCACAAAGAATCAGACACAACTTAGTGACTAAACAACAACAAAAAGTGCTATTGTAAATGCAATTATTGTCTTGATTTTCAGATTCCTAATTGCTAGTGTATATAAATACAACTGATTTTTATATACTGATCTTGTACCTTTCAACCTTGCTTAATTCGTTAATTAGTCCTAACGGTCAGAGGGGTTTCAAGGATTCTTTAAAGAGGTTTTTTACATATATCCTCATGTTATCTCCAAATTGAGATAAGTTTTACCTCTTTCTTTACAATCTGCCCTTTCTTCTTCTTGCTTAATTGCCTTAGCTAGACCCTCCAGGACAGTGTTGGACATGCTGGCTTTGTTCCTTAAGAGGGAGAGCGTTCAGTTCTTTCACCACTACAATGTGGTGTGCTTTACAGATGCCCTTTATCAGGAGCTTCCCTGGTGGCTCAGATGGCAGAGTCCACTTGCAAGGTAGGAGGCCTGGGCTTGATCCCTGGGTTGGGAAGATCCCCTGGAGAAGGGAATGGCAACCCACTCTAGTATTCTTGCCTGGAGAATCCCAAGGACAGAGGAGCTTGGCAGGCTACGTATAGTTCATGGGGTCGCAAAGAGTTGGACGTGACTGAGCATCCATGCATGCATTTACCAGGATGAGAAATTTCCCTTCTATTCTGAGTTTGTTGAGTATTTATGTCAGGAAAGGGTGTCAGATTTTGTTAAATGTTTTTCCTGTTTCTACTGATAGGCATCATGTTTTTTTCCTCTTCAAGCTATTAATATGGTTTATTGATTTTCATGTTGAACCAACCTTGCATTCCTGAGATGGAATTCCACAGTATTGGTCATGGTACACAACCATGGTGCTGGGTCTAGTTTGGTTTATAGTGTTGTTCAAGTCCTCTGTTTCCTTAATGATCTGTCTTGTCTGCCCATCCATTATAGGAAGCTGGGTATTAAATTATCCAACTATTACTGCTGAACTGTATATTTCTACCTTCAATTATCTCAGACTTTGCTTCATGTATTTTGGGACTCTGTTGTTTTCACATGTATTTGTGACTGCTTTATATTCCCAATGGATTGAGCCTTTTACCATTCCATGTTGTTCTTTGTCTCTAGCCAAAAAAAGTGTTGAAGTCTATTTGTTTAGCTCTCTTGGTTACTGTTTGCATGGAATGTCTTTTCCCATTCTTTTAATCTATTTGTGTGCCTCAATCTAAAGTGAGTCTTTTGTAGTTAGCAAAGAGTTTGGATTAAGTTTTTTAATCCATTTCACCAATCTCTCATTTAAATAACACCTTTCTTTGAGGCACCTTCAAAAAGCCCTAGGGTTCTGCAATCTTTATTATGGAAAAAAACACTGATTTAATACATGCAACAATTACTTATGAAAGAAATAACCCAATTTTATTTTAGAATTTTTCAGGAACTTGCCATGTTACCTAGAACCAGCTTCTTTTTATAATGAAGATGAAAAACATTATCACAGGTGATGGTATCAGAGCAACCATTTTAAAACTGAGAGACATTAAGGATATATTTAGAGGCCCTCTACCATCCAGGGCTAACACCTACTGTTTTAGTATAACATGTAATGCAGAAATGCATCAACAGCCATGGCACCAATCCACCAGCAGCAGATAGTGCCGACTATGAACCCAAAGGCCATTTCCCCACCCCTATGAGGGTAACACCCTAATTCAGTTCTTGTGTTCACTCTTCTCTCAGACAATGGACACTTTGATACATTAAGGTGATCTCATCTTCCTTTCCACTAGCTGGTTTAAAGGGATAGGAAAGTTACCCAGTTTGGGTCAATGAGAGGTGAAAGGATGTCTTTCCTGAAACTCTTAACTATCTCTGGACCCATTTTAAGAAATCATAAATCTCTATATTAAGCGAGTCTATACCAAATTTCCTGTTAACGCTAAAAATTCTTAACAGTTTGATGAAGTGTTTCTCAACTGATCAAAAAATAAGCTAAACTATTATATTTTAATATTTTATTCAAAGAGTTCAGCTTTAAACATCTATAAGATATTCATCAACTTCAAGTGGCAAAAGAAACAAAAATATGTAATAAACTATTTCAGCTGTATCTTTGAATAGGGAAACCAAAAATAACATACTACTACCAGAATAAACAACAAACAAACCTAGTCTATTAGGCATGTATATATTTTATTTTCCTTTAGGTGATAATTTTTGGAAAATTACACTTTCCAAGAATAAGCCCTTGCAAACAGAGCTGCTAATTTTTCCAAAAATAAAATCCAATATCTAGACTCTCAAAACTCACAAAACCAAAAGGAAAGGTCTAGTTGTCAGCCAATAGGGCCATGCTCAAGTCAGTTTCACACCACAGGGAATAATCTATAACTAATTTTAGTAGGCAAATTCCAATTCTAATTACTAGTGAGGCTACTTCTATTACTAGTGATACTACTTGTTATTCCCAACTGTGTTGACAATTGTCTTATTGCTGAATTGTATGTGATAAATCTTCTTTGGCAACTTTTTATGTATCAATTAACACAACTGGACAACTGTAAAGATTTGGGTTAACTTAATATTTCAAAGATTTCAAAACTTCATTATAATTATTTAGATGTAATTTCTTATAGATGTTAGAATAGGAAAACCTCCAAACATGCCTAATGAAATATAATAACAAGAAAAATTACTAAATAATCACTAGCTTTTCAGTTGTGTGTGCAATTATATAATTCAACTCAAACATTAGTGACAATATTACAATGTTAGTGCCAATTCTCTATCAGGCTTTCTGTGATAAAGGACAAAAATTAAATGTATAAACTAACATCTGGGTACCTGTCAATTTTTCTGGAAGGCTGTTTCATATGGTTTCAAAATTACCTAAAATTAGCCAGAATATAGTATGAATTCTCACTACAATATATGCCTCATAGAATTAAAGTACATTAATAATAATTTTAATTCTTATTCTATGGAATAAGCCTATTTTGGAGGCTTGGCACAATATTACCAAGAAATTTAAACAGGAAACTCAAGTCCAGATGTGTAACTAAGAAATCTTTCTATATATTAAAAAAATCACCAACTTAAACTATAAATGTCTTCCACTAAATATCACCACTCCAAAATTCACACAAAGTAAATTAAAACAGGTATGGCAGAAAGTGCACTCGGAAGCATGTTCACATTTAACAAAGATAAATGATGAAGTTTAGCCAGCAAAAATTCAAACAGGCATATATGCAAACATCTGTATGCAAATTTTCACGAGTAAGATATAAGAAATGATTCATTTTGGTAATTTTATGTACAGCCTGTATACAATTTAAAACAAGTACAACTGAAAACATTTCTAAAGCCACAATAAAGTCAAATGATATACTAAATAACAGTCTTACAAATTGGTCTCTCTTAGGAGTTCTTAAAGAGAAAAACAACTGATTAAAACATTATCCTAAGAAATGCCCTCCTCTTGATCAATCATTTCTGTCTTAACTGAAAAGACATCTGCCAGCATATGTTTTGGAATTTCTGAACCTCTAACTTTCAAGGCATAACAAGCATTCTCCACTTTGGCCAGACTTTGTTTCAAAGTATACAGCTTCTTTGAAACCTCATAAGGTCCAGTATTGCCAATGAATGAAAACCCATCATAAACCTGACGTAAAAACTGGCTCACTTCAAAGGGAGTGTCTATGTCCCCATTCCCGACACTGTTAATACACATTCGCATCAACTCTCCAGTTAAATCAGCCACTCCCAGAAGGTAATCAACAGGCGTGATTTTCAGTCTCCAAGTACCGCACTGCTTATCCTGTGCATCAGAGGAAGGCTGGTAAAAAAAAAAAATAAACACACACACACACAAAGAAAATACACTGTGAAAAAGAGTGACTACGTATACTTATAAGGTACAAAATCAACAGCAAGTCAATCACACTAATCTTCTCTAAATAAAATGATCCATATTGTTAAATAACCATTCAAGATGTTACGAGAAGAACTCATGCCCTCAGCAAGGAGTTGAATTTACAATTTCAAGATAATTCTGAAATCTAATATTGTATCATTATAAAATCAATCATTTCCAACTTCACTTGACATATAAAATAAAGATATTCTTAAGGCCTAATGACTTCATCACACGACAATGACTTACATATTTAAATGGCAAATCATAAAGCCCTCCAGGTTTATGATCCAGTCATGATTTTCTCAGTCACTTAGTCCCTTTCTGGCCTCTCCTCTGTCCCCACTCAGCACTGACCATCATGATTTAACACTCTCTTGCTATATCCTCCTCAGTTTCTTCAGACTCCTATTTTTCTACTGCACCTGCCCAGCAAAAACACACCCTGAATCAGTATTAAAACTATTCTTGTTAGTGCTTTATTCAAGTACTGAGTACCACTAGGCTAAAAAATAATAATGATGATCACAACTGTATAGAGTTTGTACCACTACAAATTACTCACCAATCCTTTTACTTATTTCTTAGATGGTTCTCGCCCGTCTCTTTGAACACTATTTCAAACCTTCACTACTTTTCTCCTCAGCCCCTTACTCAATCCCAAACCTCTTCACTCTCAGTAAACAATCTTGCCTACTTTCACTGGCCTGATTATTTGCCAGATCACGTGGCATAAGCTCTCTCAATTACCTTATCCCTAAAAACAAAATAAAACAAAACAAAAAACTTATTTATGTCCACACCCGTCTTTACCTTCTATCCTTCAGTCTCAGATGATGAGTTGTCCCTCCTCGTGTTTGAGGTTAACTCTTCCAAATGACCTTGACCCATCTCCTCCCACCTCTTCCAGGACCTTGCTTCATAAGGTGTATGCCCTTGGGCAAGTTATTTCATCTCTCTAAACCTCAGTTTCCTCATCTGTAAAATGGGATAACAGTACCTACCTCAGAGGTTTATTTTTAAGGATGAGATAACATTTACCAAGTTCTTGGCATAATGCCCAACACAAAGTAAATACTCAATAAATGTTAGCTGCTATCACCATTACCGTCACCACATCAATCTCCTCTCTCCACATCAACTTCTCTCTAATGGATTCTTTCTGAAAGAGGCGATGTCTGAACTGTTATTAAAAGTCTGATGAGACTTAGGTGGGCTGGAATTATACTGAAGGACATTTCAGGCACAGGGAACTGCAAGAGTATGCAGATGAGAACTGTGCTGTGTACTTGAGGAACTAGTGAGGCATTTCTTTAGAGTAAAATTTAAAGTAAGAAGTGTTATGGGCTGAGTCTAGAAAGACAGAACAAGGGACAGAGCAAGGGGAGAAAGCCACAATAAGTCAGAACTTTACCTACAGGTAACAGAGACACTGAGAATTAAGTGAGCAAATGACAGAGTCAACTTTAGGTTTTATAGATGATTCTGGTTGCTTTGTATCCAGGACATGAATCCTAACACTGTTGGACTTTTCAGAGACCATCTGTTCCAATCTTCTCAATATGGAGTATAAGAAATGAGGTCCCAGAAACACTGCAGGTAATATCACTAGTTAATGGTTAGAACTGGGTAAGTATCCAAAGTCAGCTCCCCAATTAGCCTGACCTGCTATATTTCATTTCTGTTAAAGAGAACTGGCATCTTTTTGGAAAGGACAGATTATGGTGGGAGTGATGGGGGGGGGGTGGAGAAGCGGCTGGCATTTTGTAAGTCATTTATGAAAATGACTTACTTAAAAAATTTTTGCTTAAGAAAACATGACTATCCTTTGTTCCCATCATTAGACAGAAGGAGCTCCCTGAATGTAACTAAAAAGTTGATTCTGAAGAAAAAGCATGTTAAAAAAATCAACAAACTGTCAAGGAAATAAATTCTGCTTAGAAACCAGGGAAAATAAAATTACTTAAAATGCAATTTTTCACAATGGACTTGAAGTATTTAGGGGAAAAATATCAGGATAACTATAACTTAAACTAATTTAGCAAAAAAAAATTTAGATGAAGCAGATATGGCAAATATTAACAATTATTGAATCCAGATAATGGGTACATGGGTGTTCATGTGTTACTATTTTCTCCACTTTTCTTGTGCATTTGAATTTTTCATAAGAAGTTTTAAAGAATTAAATGGTTTGACACTACTCTCAATATGCAAGTCAGAGCAAAATACCTTCCACTATTGGATTTCCAGAATTTTCATCACCAAGAAGAATCTCTAGCACTAAAAGGAAATATTATTTATGAATGTGGTCTTAACATTTTGAGAAGACACATGTGTATGATTATGACATCCTAATCTTAGAATAATTTACTACATAAATCCTCAGAATAGGGCATTTACTCCCATTTCTCTTTACTTTCTTGCCCTGATACTTTAATTCTGAATTACAGAGAATCGAAAGGAAAGTATGGTAACTTGACTAATATATTTAAGAAGCAGGATCACACAGGCTCCCTTTACTTCTTTCTGTAATTTAATCTTTACTAAATGAACTAAAAATATGAAAGAATTTTACTTCTCAAGATGAATTTCCTCAATTAAACTTCACATAATTTTTAAAACTGAGAAAATATATGGTTTCCTTGAAGTGAGCTACACCTGTCACACCAAATTATCTCCCTTTTCAGTATTAATATTTTATTAACATTCAAGAAAATAGGATTTCCACACCTTCTTCCACTTTCTGCCTACCTATCCTGACTGATTTTTAAAAATAATAATGAAAGAAAAACTGATGAAAAATAAAGAAAAGAAAAAAACTGTTTAATTGTACCTTTAAGTGTACTAATATCTTAGGAGAGTACCTAATACTCAAAATTTTACCTCATGGCCTGAATATTATACCTTGAAACTCAGGGGGAGAAAAACAGTATTTATTTAGAAGTTGAACTGCACTATTTCAGATACAAGCATTATGAACTCAGTGATTAAATTAACATCTCTCACAGTATCGTAACAGCTTTATACTGGCTCTTCTAATGACTACTAACTACTGAGCACCTATGCGGCATGCGCTGTACGCTACCGAGTTTAAAACCTGTACCTCAAACCCTGTGAAACACTCCTTTGAGGGAGATCCCTGGCACAGGGGTCCCTGTGGCACACGGCGAGACACCCTGGGGAGGGACAGGCACTCCTGGCTTTGCATTCAGGACACCTGGTCTCCAAGTCAGCTGTCACACCTGCTTGACTAGGGCTTGACAGGTTACTTAAACTCTGTAAAGGCCTTTTTGTGAAATGAGGGTAGTAATTCTTACGCTGTAAGTTTAATAAAAGGATTAAATGAAATAGTGTTTATAAAGGGTACATAGCAAACACACAGTAAAACCAAAAGTGGACTTACATAATAACCACTCCATAGTGCTTTACATAGAAGGGTATTGTTCCCCCCAACCTACCCATAGTTGTTGAGCCACTAACTAATATATTTAGAAAGACCATTTCCCTAGGTGGGAATCTATGAAATCACACTTTAGAAAGAACATTTTCATCTCAATATTCTTTGCATTATAAGCCAATGAATCTCCTACAATTATCACAATGCTGTGTAAATTATGTAATAAATGTGAAATATGATTTTAAATTCTTACAGTCTTATTTTCTTTCCCATTGTCTTCTGTTGAAAAAATCAACTGTTTATTAATTTCATCCATACTGATAAGTGATCGTGTTTTGATGAAGTGTTGAAAAGAGACAGCCTCCACATATTCCTGCAGTCCTGAAAAACCAACAGGAAAATTACTAAGGAACAACCACTAAATTAGTAAGAATGTCATAGTAAAGAACTTCAAACTAATCATCACCTAGCTCAACAAAAGCTTAATGGCTATCTATTCCATCAGCCCTAGATTCGATTCTGAGAACACACCACCTGGGGAGAGCTGGTGGGGACAGCCAAGCACTGCACACAGCAAACGTTCCTGTAGCTGAACTTAAGGTGGCTCAGAAAGGAATGTGTTCAAAGTCTTCTTTGGATTTCATGAGTCCATTAGTCTTAAAAATCTACTCTCTCCTACAGAGAAATGGCAAAGATATTTCAGAAAAGTACTTTTTAAAGAATTTAAGAAAGGGTATTACCAAAATTCTGGTAGGCTTTAATAGAACTTATACAGATTAGTTTTTGCTCCCTTAAGCAGCAAAACAGACAATGATTCAATCACATGAGATAAAATTAAAGATAATTTGGCTCTTCCTAAATGTTCCTAGGTTAAAAAAACAAAACACTGTAAATAATAAAAGTTAAAGTGTCAAAATTCAAAATGCCATTTTCCTCATACTTCAAATTAAATCCTTTCTGCTTCAGTAGTTAAAGTTTTTTTTTTTTAAAAGCTAATGAGTAATACCAGATGCACGAGATATAAATCCTACAGAACCCACTCTGAATTAAAGGTCGGTAAAGGTCAAAAATAGTGCTGTACTTTTTCAAGTGTTTTAAAACAAGCAAATTCTATAGCCATACTTTTCAGCATTATTTTATTATGTCTTAATCTATAAGGTAATACTCACAGGAAAAAAAGTGTTTCTTAAAATTATTATCATTACTGTCAGTTTAACAAACTTGGTCTTCTTTTTGGATGCTTTATTGTAAAAAACAGGAAGAGGAAAATAAGTTCAGAAAGAAAAGTCAGAACCTGGTAGGGTCATCTGTATTTAAGTTCTCTTTCTAACACTTCTTACAGAGTCCTGCACTCACACGGCCTCCCAGTAGCTAACACTAAAAATCAGGCCCGGCAGCAAGTGTCAGATACTGCCGTATCATCACATCAAGTGCCACACAAGGGTCAAAGACGAAAAGGAAATAGGTGACCTGGTTCTTACAGCAATAAGAGGAAATAACTAAATGAAAATATCCTGACTCATTTTGAAGAGCAAATGATGCTGAAGTAAAGTCAGAAAATAGGTGCTTCCAGCTGACAGAGCAAGACATGATGGGGTACTTTGTTTAACAAACCATAACATGAAATGAAGCAATAAAGTTGAGTTTAACAGAGCAAATAACATCTTTTAACACTTACAATAAAAATACTTTCATAAAATTTCACTTTTATGAATAGGTTAATAAAATCCAGTTCCCTTTTCTAACAACAATCTATATTTCTCATTTCCTTCCAGAAATACTTCAGGCATACAAAAGCAAACAGCAAAACTTAAGAATCACTCATTATATCTCTAAATAGCTTTACCATGATTAGCTCTTACAAATGGGAGCTAAAGAAGATATGTGCACAAAGATTTATGTATAAAGATATCCATCATTACAATCATTATAAAAGCAAAAATGGAAAAAATTTACAAGATCAATAACAGAAGCGCCATTTGTCAACTTACTGTCTCACGGCTTTATCAATGCACAGAGCGGAGGCGGACCTCAAAATGGCTCTCCTTTGCCAGCGGGCACACATTAAGTGTGACTGCTAGAGGGTCCTGGAGGACAACGCAGGAGGAGCGAGCTCCGGGATCCACTGTGCCCGGTCTGTGGCCGCCTTCCCAGCACGTGTGCCAGCGGCTCGAGGTGGGCAGCAGCACCAGGCCTCTCTTTGGGGACAGGTTCTCCTTGTGACCCAGAGAGCAGTTCCCAGTGAGCCACCTCCATGGGCAAGGAGTCATGGTTCAGCACCTCCCCGTGGAGAGCTTCCCAAAGATGCCATCAGCGCAACATCTCAGCCATCCAATGGCGTGACTTCAGTGGGGTGGGTAAGTTGGGGGCAGGGGTGGACTTCACCAGATGTGTTCTTTCCAAGGATGTGGATTCCTCCTCTGATTTCCTGTACTCTTTAGAGTTCATGTTTCCTCTTATAAAGAAGTCCCTTGTACAGTTAACTCTGTATATTGAACCGTCCCTATTCATTGGAAAAGACCCTGATGCTGGGAAAGAGTGAGGGCAGGAGAAGGGCGTGACAGGATGAGATGGCTGGATGGACAGCTCATCCCCCTCAATGGACGTGCGTTTCAGCAAACTCTGGGAGATAGTGAAGCCCAGGGAAGCCTGGAGTGCTGCAGTCCATGGGGTCACAAAGAGTCGGACACAACTTAGCGACTGAACAACAATGCAGTTTCTGTTTCCTGTTCGGACACTGATGACCTCAATAGGGACTTAAGAAAAATAAACAGTGGTACTGTAATACCCCTATTACCCCTATAGACAGGTGTTCCATCTTAGAAGGCCAGCCAAGATGCCTGTCCTCAGAATCAATATGCAATCCTAGTAGGAACCTTAACACAGATTCTCCCTTCCTCATTTGAGGTTTTCCACTTGATGTTCTCTACTGGATGCTGTCAACATTTACACTCACTCAGATCTCTCCCATCCATAGGCCATAATCTTGCCTCACAACAATTGTCCAATATCTCTACTCCCCTCCACAGTTAAATTTCTTAAAGTAGCTTCTTAATAACCACATCTCACACGTCTCAGCCTACTTCATTCCAGCTTGAGCACACCTCTAGGCCAAAACAGCTCTAACTTAAAATTATGCCAGTTAATGAATCTAATGGGACATTTTTTCAGTCTTAATTATGTAGCAGCATTCAGCATTTTGACCACTTTTCCCCTTGCTTTTAAACAAGCTTCCTGTTGCTTCCTTTTATGGCATCTTTTCCTAGATCCCCCTTTTTCTGCCTCTCTGGCCATGTCTTCTTAGTCTCTGCCAGCCCAGGCTCTCAAATTACCTATACTTGGCTTCAGTTAATGCTGCCATCTCTCAGCTTTACAGCTCTGGTTTAGAATCACATATATCCAAATGCATATTTAATAATCCCATCAGAGGGCCTCAAAAATCAACATAAGCAACAATGAATTCATAATACTCCTTCTAAACCTGGCCATCTTTGTTTTGCCAATTCTAAGAGGGTCCTGGCCTTACCGCCATCTATTTCCCCCCCCCGCTTTCTCACCCATTCTCACACCACAGACTTTTTAATGCTCTTTGAAACAGTCTTTTTATAGTCTTTTTTGCCTAATAACTATAATTAACAGTTTAATAATTTAATAATAATGACCACATCACTGCCCTGCTTAAAGCCGAAATAGCTTTCCATGGCTCTTAGAAAACAGAGAAAAGTCATTAACATGGTTTATAAGCACCTGCTTAATTTCAACCCCCATTTACATCATCAGCCTCAACTCACGCTATGGTCACGTAGTTATATATTTATATAGTGTATTACTATACTCATGTAGTTATACATTTCAAAGATGGATATGTAAATCCATACAAATCTTTTAACAAAAGTGCATTGTTTGAATATACTCTCTGAATTTTCCTACTTCTTCAGTATTTCTAGGCGTAATCTTGCCCCCAAATTCCTAAAGTTGGCTTACATTTCAGGGCCATGTTGAACAAAAATAGTATTTTAAATGCTGGAATCAAATACAAGCAGCAAAGTTCTTGTCATGTAAGATTCTATCAGCTGAAGGTGGTGCACGCAAGCTTCCCTGGGGCCTTACGGTAAGGCTCAGTGATTTCATCAAGCAAGTATTCTCAGTTTAATGGGTATAAGCCAGTATAAGCCTGTAGGTGAAGGATGACTTTATCTATACACCTATAATCTCAAGCTGATTTGACAGACAGGGTACAAGTTCCAGCCTGCAGTTCAAGGTAGAGGAAATCAATCAGAAAGGAGGTTATCACTTATACTGAACCAGCCTCTTCCCTGCTCTCACAGTAACACTATGTGATGGTTCATCTGGTGCTCAGGCCAAACACCTGCTAAATGTGGGTGTGAAAGTACTTTCAAGATGTGATTAACATTTAAATCAAGACTGGGTAAAGCAGATAACCCTCCAAAATGGTGACGGGTGGGAATGGAGGAGTACCCATCCAACCAGCTGAAGACCTTAAGGAAGCATGAGGATTCCCAACTAAGTAATTCTGCCCAAAACTATGACAGAGAAATGCTGCCCAAGTTTCCAGCTTGCAGATTTCAGATTCAAGACTGCAGCACCAACTCTTTAAAGAAATTCCAGCCTGCTGGCCTGCTCTACAAATTTCATACTTGCTAGCCCCCAAACCATGTGAGTCAAGCCCTTAAAATAAATTACTATCTACCTGCCCCATCCCCCTGCCTCAGGAGTCCTGTTGATTCTGCTCCCCTGGAGGACTCTGGGACTGGCGTGCCTGGTGGATAGAACGCTCACATCACGAAGTGTGCACAGAACTTATGCACGTATTTCGGTCTTCTCTTCCTGACTCTGTGCTCTATCTTTTCAGTTCCTCACCCACACTGTGCCCTTTCTGACTTCAGAGGATTCTGTATGCTACTCCCTCAGCCTTCCTTCATGCTCTCCCCTCTTTTTCAACCCGATGAATTACCAATCCTTTCACGTTCCATCAAACAGCACCTCTGAAGAAACTGCCTGACGCCGCCACATTCTAAGTCAAGGCCTCATCATATGCCGTCCCAGTGGACGTGCCCTTCCTTTGTGGCGCCCATCAAAGCTGTGATATTTAAATAACCTAACAACCTCTGACAAACGTCCACTTCCATCCCTTGCTAGAAGGGCAAGACCATGACTACCTTGTTCACTGCTTACCCTCCGTGCCGGACATAACCAGGTACAAAAATAGTTAAATGAGGTAGATACATTTTTGAAAACCTATTCCATAACTTAAAATTTTAAATGTTTTACAAGGACAGTTAATAAATAGGAAAATGTGCATTTCAGAAAAAAGCACAAAATACAATAAAGAAATAAAAATTAAAACACAATATATATAC